GCACTTATATCAGCTCTATACAAGGGGCCAACATATCCTGAGATTTGCTCGCGTGGCTAATTCCTATCCTTAATCTCCCTTTCCTCATGCAATAGTACCCGTTGATCAACATTTCGTGAGGCTTGCATATTTGCTGTCACTCCTGCATAACTTAGCCCTTGCTTGCTCCCTTCTTCGACTGTTCGGTACTTAACCTCATCACTAACAACAAAACAGTTGATAATTGCTTGGAACAAACTCGAAATCAAGGCACAACCTTCACCATTCGCCCCTTCCGGCACCATCACCATACCTCTCCGACGTCTTTCTACATATTGTGCAATCATCAGATATCTTCCATGACCATTCGCACAGCGTTGTGCCAAGAATGCTCGAGAAGACTCGTTGAACTTCATAACGAAGTCCTCTGACCTCTTAGCCGCTCTCGCCTTCTCCACCATATTTGATGAGGACATCTACTTTGGACTATTTAGTTTAGTATTTTATTTGGGCTTGTATTATGTTTTTGTATTGCCCAGGTCTTTTTTATTTTGCTTTAGGCTTGTATAGTGTCTTGGGCTAGCCCAAGCCCAGTCTCTTTGTTTTGTATATTATATATATGTATGCAGCCTGTTGCATGAATAGAGAGATTGATGGAAATGAAATGAAAATTGGAGTGTTGCAGGCACTCTCTCCTTTTCCACCGCCCCTCCTCCTCTTCTCTTCTTCTCCTACTTCTTTCTTTCTTTTATCTGGTTTATACTTCCCTCTCTTCTCCTTCCATGTGATTGCTCCTATGTCTATGTTATGCTACATCAACTTGGTATCAGAGCAAAACTTGGGAAATATTTCAGCTATTCATCTCTTTAACAACCTAAAAAGTTTAGCTACCTATAATCCATAGCTCACAGACCATATTCAGTATCATCCCATTCAAAGTGATAACTCCAAATCTGTTGTTTCAGAACCCAACCAACAACTCTGCCTACTTCGTTAATAGCACACTGCGTCACTGAATTACTCACGACTTCACCAGCCCAACATCAATAAACACCCCTACCCGAACTCATACAACCTACCCAGTAAACCATAATCCAGTCTCTTCCGCCACAGCCTAACATAGCGACCCGACCCAATTTCCATCCAACTATATCATTGAACCGAATAGCAGCTCGCTCTTTCATCGCAGAATCACCTGTCACCATATTGACGAAGCAATGCTCCAGGATTTGCTTTTTGACTGGTGTTTCCTCTTGACACATGATTAAATACCCAACCCGAAAACTCATCCTCTGCCAACCGTGACCTAGATCTCCCCTCCCCCCCCCCCCCCCCCCTAACTCCAACATTCACTGCGGTCACTGCTCGCAGTCGCCTATTCCTTCCACTGCTTCCACCACTAACCGCCTCAGTGCTGGGTTTGAGGGAGAGAATACGGCTTTGTATCATTGGAGGTTAAAGCACGCTGTTTTTGGTTATTAGTATATGCCCCTATTTTCTGATGCTTCTCTGGGTTTTCATGTTTGATTTGGACCTCAATTATGACCCCTTTTTTTAATGTAAATATTCCATTTGATTTTGTTATTTTAAAAAGAAAAAAAAAGGACAGAAAAGAGAAAGCGAAAAAAAAGAAAGAAAAGAAAAGCGAAAAAAATTGTATTTTCTAACATTATTTTGCAGGTATCTCTTCTTGTCCTGTTGATTGACCCAGTTACTTCAACGAACAAAAAGGGAAGCTACTGTTTTTATCTATATTTGGTCTATATTATTGTTAATTTAAAATCGCATCAATTAAATTTCTGTTCTGCTATTATATTACTTTGCCTAAAATTACATGATTGAGCCCTTATTAAACCCCACTTTTTATCCCACTTATTTTACGTGATTAGATTTTGACTGGTAATTTAACCCTCGCTTTGTCATTTTACTAATATCAACAGTATAGCTTGCCATATTTGGATTTACTTAATCCCAAAACTTTAGTTTAAATGTTCAAGTTGCTATTTTTCGTTACTTGCACTTGTTGTTCATTGATCTCTCCATCGCAAGTTATATAGCTGGTATTATATTGCATGCAGTTGTGATGTGGTCGTCTAGTCACACCTAGTTCTAGTACATTCACCATGGACCCCTCACAATTTGATGCACTCACTAGACAATTAGCTCAGCTTGTCATTAGTCAGCAACATTTACAGACTCAAATAGCGGCTGTCCAAATCGAGATGACTGCTACTCGTGAAGAGAGTAGAGACCTAGCTGCTAGGTTGGACAATTTTGAACAAACCCCTTGTTCGACTGACGCTAATAACTCTGAGGCGTCCCATAATGTACACTATTATTGTCGACAAGGTGGTAGACAACATCCTTGACGTGATCAAAGGAATAGAGATTAGGGCCGTGATCGAGAACGAGGTCATGGCTGTCGCGATAATCATTCTCATCCACTCCATGACGAGCGTTATTTTAAAAACATCAAGTTAGATGCTCCTACTTTCGATGGTTGCTTAGATCTTAGAGTTTTTACTCAGTGGATTGGAGATGGATTTTCTTGGCATGGTATGGAGTCTCAGAGGATCGACGTGCCCAATTTGCCAGTCTGAAATTAACTGGCACCGTCCAACTTTTCTGGGAAAGTGTTGAGGATCTCCTTGACAGGCGTCGTGCACGTTCAGTTGGAAGTTGTGAGGAAATGAAGCATCACCTTCAAAAGAAGTATTTGCCCCAGTTTTATAGGGGCAATTTGTTGGACCAATGGAATACCCTTACACAGGGAAATCGACTAGTGACTAACTATGTTACTCAATTTGATGAATTTCTAATGCGATGTCACATCGTTGAGGATGAGGCAATGACTTTGAGTAGGTTTAGATAGGGCATAAAAGATGATCTTAGCCATGAACTTATCCTTCGAGGTGTCACTACCCTTGATCATGCTTATTCTTTATTCCAAGATTATGAGTTGGTCACTAAGACTTCATATGGAAGGCGTGTTGACAATCGTCCTTCCGTCTCATCTGTGCCACCTCCGCCTGTTAAGTCCCTCCTAGGGCCTCTCCCATTTGATGTCCCCCCTATGTTGGAAAATAAAGGTAAAGCTCTTGAAATTCGAAAAACTCTTTCTCGCGTGCAGTGCTTCAATTGTAAAGACTTTGGTTATATCACATCTAGATGTCCTAGTCGAGCTTTAGTCATTGAGGAACGAAAAGATGTAGAAGGCGAGTCATTAGAAGATCAAGTCTATGAACCTAAATTTGAAGAGTTTGACGATTTGGATGATATTGAGGATATCTTGTTAGGTTGCATCCGAACCTTCCCTGTAGATCTAGGTTTTGTGACCTCTGTCCCCGACACCTCGTGGCTAAGTGTTGTACGTTGTACCCTTACTCACCTTAAAGATGCTGATGACTCGTGCCGTCACGCCATTTTTCACACTTATATCAATATCAATAACAAAGGTTGTAAAATTATTGTGGGTAGTGGTAGCTGCATTAATGCAGTTTCTGTGGCTACGGTGTCCGGTCTTGGATTACAGCCAATTCCACACCCTCAACCTTATAGTGTCTCTTGGGTTGACACTTCTTCTATTGCCGTAAACGAGCGTTTAGTTCCTATCCAGTTTCTTGAATACAGAGATCATATATGGTGTGACGTCATTCCCATGGACGTCGGACACGTCATTCTTGGTCGACCCTGGTTGTTCAATTTAGATGTCACTATCCATAGTCGATCAAATTCATGTTCCTTTGTGTTCAATGGGAAGAAGATTCACCTTAATCC